CCCTTGCACAGGACCCCCCAGAATCCCACTCATCCCAAAATCCCAACCCCTGGCCCTGCACAGGACCCCCCAGAATCCCACTAATCCCGAAATCCCGACCCCTGGCCCTGCAGAGGACCCCCCAGAATCCCACTGAGAGCCCCTTTGCTGGGTGGGGCCGAGCTCCTGGGGGCTCCTGGCTGGGTGTGCAGCCTCCCAGCTCCCCTTCCCATGAGTTTTCCAGGCCTGTCCCGGGCTGGATCCGTGGGAATCATCCCTGGGGTTGTTGTGTCCCTGCAGACGGTGCGGGAGGAGGAGCGGGAGATCTACAGGCAGCTGCTCCAGATGGTCACTGGGAAGCAATTCTGTGCCTCCAAACCCTCCTCGCTCTTCCCCTTCCACCTGTGAGTATGGAAAACTCCCTGGGAGTATGGAAAACTCCCTTCTCCCAGCCCATGGCACCCCCCAGGCCTGCTGGGAGCTGCTTTTCCTGCTGGGAGCTGCTTTTCCTGCTGGAAGCTGCTTTTCCTGCCGGGAGCTCCTTTCTCCTGCCAGGAACTCCTTTTTCTGTCAGGAGTTCATTTTTCCTGCTGGGAACTCCTTTTCCTACCAGGAGCCCCTTTTTCCTGCCGGGAGCCCCTTTTCCTACTGGGAGCCCCTTTTCCTGCTGGGAGCCCCTATTCCTGCAGGGAGTTCCTATTCCTGCTGGGATCTGGTTTTCCTGCTGGGAGCTGCTTTTCCTGCTGGGAGCTGCTTTTCCTGCTGGAAACTGCTTTTCCTGCTGGGAGCTCCTTTCTCCTGCCAGGAACTCCTTTTTCTGTCAGGAGTTCATTTTTCCTGCTGGGAACTCCTTTTCCTACCAGGAGCCCCTTTTTCCTGCCGGGAGCCCCTTTTCCTGCTGGGAGCCCCTATTCCTACTGGGAGCCCCTATTCCTGCAGGGAGTTCCTATTCCTGCTGGGATCTGGTTTTCCTGCTGGGAGCTGATTTTCCTACTGGGAACCCCTTTTCCTGCTGGGAACCCCTTTTCCTACTGGGAGCCCCTTTTCCTACTGGGAGCCCCTTTTCCTACCGGGAGCTGATTTTCCTGCTGGATGTTTTTTTAGGTCCAGGTGTCCCAATTCCAGCCAGGCCCTGGTGAAGGAGACGCCCAGCGAGGACTCGAAGCCCTTTGAAGCCCCCCGAGCTGCCCCAGCCCCTTCCCCCCCCCCCCCCAACCCCCCCCCCCTCCGAGGGCATTCCCTGCCCAAACCCCTCTCCTGCTTTGCCCCCACTTACCCCTCTTCCAGCATCTTCCAGTCCAGGAATTCCAGGGCCCAGCAGCGGGATGAGCCTCCACCAGCATCCACCACGCAGCCCGAAGGTAAAAATCAACCCAAACCCCCAAATTAACCCCTCCAAAAAACCTGGCAAGGGGGTTAACATTTTAAATGCCCATGGAAACATTTTTCCTCCGTGGTTGGGAGCGGTGGGAGTTGGGAATGGGGAGGAAATTCCAGGTCCTGTGACACTTTTTCGTCCCTTCAGGCTCCGACTCCGTCATTTTGCTCAAGGTGAAGGATCCCAGAACTCCAGCCCCGAGGTGAGATCCTTGGGAATGGGGGCCTGGAGGAAAGAGGGAGGGTGGGGTTTTTTTTTAGGGAGAAGGGAGTGGCTTCCTGAGGGTTCCACCAGCAAACCCCACTTTGCTGTGGCTGCTCCCAAATCCCGCTTTTCCAACCGTGACTCGTTTTTTCCACAGGGAAAACACTGAAATCTCTCCTTTTTTTTCCCCCTCTTTCCAGCCCCCCTTTCTTCCAGGCAGAGCTGTGGATCAAAGAGCTGTAAGTGCCATGTTTTCTACTCTGGTGTTTTCTGGGGAGAAGGGAAAAGGTGGATGTTTCCCCCCCCCCCTCTAAAAAAAGGTGCTTTTTCCAGGACCAGCGTCTACGACTCCCGAGCTCGGGAGAGGTTGAGGCAAATTGAGGAGAAAAAAGCTTTGGCTTTGCAGCTGCAGAACCAGGTGAGGAGGAGGAGGGGGGGGAATGCCAGAGCGAAAATTTGGTTGGAAATTGGAAAAAATGGGGGGAAAATGGCAAAAAACGGCTCCAGTTACAGAGGGGAGGGAAAAGGAGGGAAGGGAAGGGATTGTGGAATATCCTGAGTGGGAAGGGACCCACAGGGACCAAAGTCCAACTCCTACCATTACACAGGACACCCCAGAATCCCACTCATCCCCCTGGATCATCCAGTCCCTAACTCCTGGCCCCGCACAGGATCCCCCAAAATCCCACTCATCCCAAAATCCCTGAGAGCATTGTTCAAACACTCCCTGGTCTCTGGAATCATGGAATGTCCTGAGTGGGAAGAGACCCACAAGGATCATCCAGTCCAACCCCTGGCCCTTGCACAAGACCCCCCAAAATCCCACTCATCCTAAAATCCCAGCTCCTGACCCTGCACAGGACTCCCCAAAATTCCATTCATCCCCAAATCCCAGCTCCTGGCCCTGCACAGGACCCCCAAAAATCCCACTCATCCCAAAATCCCAACTCCTGCCCTTGCACAGGACCCCCCAAAATCCCACTCAGCCCAATGGATCATCCAGTCCCAGCTCCTGACCCTGCACAGGACCTTCCAGAATCCCACTCATCCCCAAATCCCAACTCCTGGCCCTGCACAGAACCCCCTAAAATCCCACTCATCCCAAAATCCCAGCTCCTGGCCCTGCACAGGACCCCTCAATATCCCACTTATCCCAAAATCCCAACTCCTGCCCTTGCACAGAACCCCCCAGAATCCCCCTCATCCCAAAATCCCAACTCCTGGCCCTGCACAAGACCCCCCAAAATCCCACTCATCCCACTGGATCATCCAGTCCCAACTCCTGCCCTTGCACAGGACCCCCCAGAATCCCCCTCAGCCCAGAATCCCAACATTCCTGGAGTTCTGCCAGCCTTGGGGCCCCGCTGAGTGCCCAAATTCCCCCCCCCCAGGAGGGAGGAAGAACCTCTTCCCAAAATCCCCCCTCGGTTTTCCCTGTGTGGTGAAGGGGATGAATTCCATCAATCCCAGCCCCCTGGTGGGGTGGATCCCTGAATCCCTCGATCCCTGGGTGGATCCTTTGATGCCTGGGTGGATCCCTGGGCGGATCCCTCGATCCCTGGGTGGATCCCTGAATACCTGAACACCTTGATCCTCGTGTGGATCCCTCAATCCCTCCATCCCTGGGTGGATCCCTCCATCCCTGGGTGGATCCCTCAATCCCTGGGTGGATCCCTGGATCCCTCAATCCCTGGGTGGATCCCTCAATCCCTGGGTGGATCCCTTGATCCCTGGGTGGATCCCTGGATTCCTCAATCCCTGGGTGGATCCCTTGATCCCTGGGTGGATCCCTGGATCCCTCGGTGGATCCCTGGATCCCTCAATCCCTGGGTGGATCCCTTGATCCCTGGGTGGATCCCTCAATCCCTCCATCCCTGGGTGGATCCCTCAATCCCTGGGTGGATCCCTCGATCCCTCAATCCCTGGGTGGATCCCTCGATCCCTGGGTGGATCCCT